CAAGAATTCAGAAAACGACTCAGAAAGACCCCCATCAAACCTCTTTACCTCACTCCGCCAAGACTGACTACAGCAGAGCCACCATCTCTGCTGCTGCTATACCCTACTCCCATCCGACCAGCTAGCCCCCTCACTAGTAGGACACGTGATATCCCACCATTTCCTTCTCCCACCCACCTTATTCTCTTTTTAAGGTACCCAAGAACACTTACAGTAATTCAGAGAGCATGAGAATAGGCCGCAAAGGTCCTCCAAATGCTCCAAAAACGTCGAAATCCCTCACAAACCCTTCCAAAGTCCTCCAAAACTGTCTTACTCCTTGCCGAGCTCTTCCAGTCCTCACACCCCCACATCCTGCTGGGTTACAGGGCAACACAACTTACCCCAGCTCCGACCAGCGTCATCCCGACAGCAACCCTTGGATGTCCCGTGGAATGCCCACCCCAAAGCATCCCCAGATCTCTCTATCAGGCCTCACGCTCCTGCATTGCAGATTACAGGGCAACTCCCCAGCACCGGCCCGCGTCGTTGTAGCATCGAACAGCCGCAGATCACTGAGTATAACAGCGTCGAAGCCACCTTAGGACGAGTTAGTAGGAATCCCAGAGTCCTAAAAACATTCCAGGACCACCAAACGACCAACTCTTATTGAGATTTTCGTCATGAGATTTATGAGAGTGGGAGAGGCGAAACTAAAACTACCTACTATCCTAAACTCCCCCGCTCAATCGACGGAGTGTCAGTCCAGGCTTTCAGTCCTCGTACCAGAACTCACTTGATCTCATACCCTCTTCTGCTAGGGTAACAGGGTACCACAACCCTCCCCAGTACCGACCAACCTAGTTCTGACGGACAGGAAGTGCCTTCCTCCCTCGACAATTCCCTTAGCGGCAAGCCCCTAAATAGGTTACAGGGTCAATACCCCGGCGTCGACCATGTTGGACGGTCTGCTTATGAGTTCGACATAACTTCACAGGCCTCAAGCTCCCCTCGGTCACAAAGCACAAGCTCCAGCACCGGCCTATGTCGTCCCAGCATCGTCCTTCTAACCTACTTACCATAACCGACAACATTCCTCTGTTGAGAACCCCTTTACTACCTTCAATCCTCCAATTCTAGCTTCCCCCCCTGATTTTTTCGAATAGAAAATCCTTCAGAAGCCTACTCGAAAATTGGTAATCAGGAACGAATTTTGGGAAATCTATTTGAACCATCTTCTGGAATTTACAATTGGAAAAAGCGATTAATAAATTCATCTAGGATATCCATTAGTGGACTCACGAATATCTGAAACCATCTTGAAGTTCTGGAATTTAGAATTGGAAAAAGCGATTTAAGATCATTGATAAAGAGAACAAACTATATGGCAAGGAACATGCTCTTGAATGAAAGTTGCGCAAAAAATCACTACGAGCGATATCAAGAATTGTCAAAGAAACAAAAAGGAAATATCGAGTTGATCATCGAGCGAAAACTAGTACAAGATCATGCCAGTCGATCAGCCTAGAAAAAAACAATCGAGGATCATGAATCAAAATCCCAAGTTATTATCCATGGAACACAACATGATTAAAAAGTTGGTTACAAGGGCATTAGTGGATTTCAAAGCCACGCGTGGGTGAAATTCCAAATCAACAAAACAGGCTCCTATCCCTTCTTCCTCACCCCACCACTTTCCTCCCACCCCTCGAACCCTAACCCTGCGCCTTTGGGGGAGGAAAGACTCCCTTCCTCCCACTGCTAACTTTTCAAGCTCAAGGCAGGACTAGCACCAAAGACATAAACGACAATCTTCAATCCCCTCTCGAAAACAAAAACGGTGTGGCACTCCCTCGCCAAGCCTGTTGACAAGTCACCACAGAGGGTCCAAAAAACACTCTAACTAACCTCCTCCCGTACAGCTGAGGAAGAGGGAAGGGATTCACCTACTGCGTCGCCTCTACCACCCAACCATGGCTTACTTAGGTAAACTTACCTTCCGGACTATAGACTGAGTGAGGATAAGTCAAGTAGATCATTAGGACAGCCATCGATATGAAACGCAGCTGAAGAAGAGGAAGAAGACCGATGATTCGCCGCAGCACTCCCCATGATGCTCATGCCGACCTTCACACCGCAAAAAGCCGACTATGAAGACGTACTTTTCTTCACGCCATCTCCTGCCACCGCACCACTCTTCCAGCGTCATCTCACCGCCACTCTATCCGCCGCCCATGCCAACATGCAAGCGCACCTCATCACGCCCTCTCCTACCACCGCGCCACTCCTCCAGCGTCGTCTCACCGCGACTCTACCCGCCGCCCATGCCAACGTGCAAGCGCCCCCGCGTCAACCGGGTAGTCTCAGTCCGGTCGGGTGCAGCGCTCCCGGTAGCGCTGCCTGTATCCAGCTACTTTCACGCCCAAGGAGTTGTTGCTTTTTTTCCTTCCCCCCCCCCCTATTGTCGTGTTTTGCTGAGGGCAGTAACGCCCTTTCGCAGACTCTCACGTGTACCCAATGTTCTGTATAAGGCGCTGATCCCACAATACACAAAAAGAGAAAAAACACGAAAGTCCCTAAAAAGAAGGCAACGGGTCGGACGGGGCGGAAAAGCAAACTCGGACCCCACACTAACGTCATCCGCGGGTCTTTCCCAAGGACTGCGGCAGGATTTTTTGGCCTTCCACGGTGACGGACATTCCTGTGGACCACCGTATGGCCTGGCCTCTCCAAGTGGGTGACACGGCATCTGCCAACGGCCAGGAGAGAGTGGAACCTGGCCCATTTTCACCAAGGGCGGACATCGAAAACGACTCATTTTCGCGGCAGCTTTTCCGGTAGGGGTAGGGGTCCTCAAGTTTTCCATTTTGTGTAGCACCGTTGGGCCGTCCATCACGGACTTCGCGCCACGTACACAAAAACCAAAAACGTACCCCTAACAAAGCGCCGCGCCCTCCTACACGGCAAAGTTGTGGGATCCCATTTCGTGAGCGGCGCAACAGGAAGAGGACGCAGAAAGACTTCCCAACTTCACAAGGTGAATTTAAGATAACCATGGTTGCATTTTGCCATATTCCGTTTTTCTTCTTTTTTTTGTCGGTCGTCACTCTTTTTCCTTTTTTTTTTTCCACAAAAGTCCAGGGTGTTGTAGAGTCCAAGTACCAGGCACACTTTGATCGCTGGGAGCCATCAGCCATGGCTGCCTTGAAGAGACGGGACTGCACTTCCCATTCCATCCTCACGCCAATACGCATAGAGCATCCCCTATCCCCACTATCCTACCTCAGTGTGACCCACACTCAGGACCGTTACCCTACCAGTATCGAGGGGAACTTGGACCGAACAGTAGTGACAGGCACCAGGGTTAAGGGCTAGCGACCCAGCCCTGGTGGAAGCATCGTCGAACGAGCCTCATCGCACGGGAACTTCGGACGCCAGGCTCAAGCAATCACTCACTAGCCCCCTATGTTAATCAACGAGTAACTCACGCCCTCAACTCTCCCACCACAGACCTAGCCGCATATTTAAGCCAGGGTACTTATCATCGGGACGCCTATCATCATCAGTGGTTGACCACCCGACCAACCGGTGACTCACGCCCGCAACTCTCCCACCACAGACCCTAGCTGCATATTTAAGGCAGGGTACTTATCATCGAGACGCCTAGCATCATTATTACTTGATCATACGCCCCCCCCCCCCCCCCCCAACACACACAGCCCATTTTTGGGCATTATAGTTTTTTTGTGTATACTAAATATTGTATGCATGCCTTATCGTTGTTTTTTTCCCCCCCATTGTCAACACTGCTCCCCACCATGGATCATCTGTGAAGTGAACACTGGTGACAGGTGCGCGTATAACCCTCGACCAGTCTACGTGACGTTGTGTAATAGACTGTGTGTTGTAAATGTGCCCGTAGACAGTATCTGGGGTAGTGTTCATGTGTGAGATATGTGATGGTGACAGGCCTATCTAGACGTGAGCCCCCCAAAGTCCGATGCCAGACTCGAACCTGCAACCTACAACATGTATCTGAATGGTTCTACCCTTTGCACTACTACCACTGGAAACGAACGTAATGTGTGAGATATCTAGGCTGGGGGAGACCAGAACAACCATAGCCAACAACAGCAAGCAACCAACGTGAAGTCTAGACCGGCATACAAACCCATGGACTAACCCTTGGGTGGTGCGCAGGCAGTGTCTGTAATAGCTTACCATGCATCAGCCCAAGGGGTGTGTGTCCACATTTAATCATGTAGTTAAAATACTGGCGGGAGCAACTTTTTTTGGGGGGGCTACAATCCTTCGAAAGACGTAAAAAATGAACATGCCTTTCAGCTGAATGGTATGCAATCGCAAGTGTGGCGGGTGTATTTCCTTTTTCTTGGTGCAAAACCCCCGTTTTAAAAGAACCGAGTGAACCCGCCGCGGTGTTGCCGCGGCTCAGGAACAAGAGCAAGGGAAGGAAGAGGAACACATTTTCCAGCGCAAAGAAAGGAAAGGAGATGTGAAGCAGCCTGCAAGGCCAAATTCGACACGGAAACTCCCCGTCGAAGACTCAGCGGCGAGGCGATCGTAAGAGCTTCCGCTCTTCAAACGACAAAACCCGGCAACCGGCGAACCCTATGGAAGACTTCATCAGATCCAATGGAGGCAGAATTGGACAGCAAAGAGCACATCAATTCCATCAAACAAAAATCGTTGGACGTCCAAGCGTCTTGAGAATGTCTGATTGTCGTTTTCCGGATGTTATTGACGAGCAGAGCCCAAAGGACAATTGTAAAGCAAAGAATAGATCAAATCAAAACGTAGCAAAAATTGAAATCTCTTTGAGATGCGATTGAAGAGTGTGATCAGAGGAAGGAAATGCACAAACTCAGATATGAAGTGGATGTCAAAGTAGAATTGCAAAGCAAAAGACGTCCCTCGAGAATGAAAGCACTTTTCCTCATCTCAAAAATGAAGACAAAATACATGCAGTTATGTACACAGTTCCGAATCTCTGGCCGTCTATACAGTTTCGATTTCGTTTATCATGCTGGTGTTAGATGCTGCCGAAAGCATTGTTTTGTTGTCATTGTCCTCTCACATCCTCAGTTTCCTCCATCCTTCTTGGAATACAGCAGAAGCGTTCCGTGTGTTGTCGACCGTCTTTCCACTGTTGTTTCCGGCGCTTGTGTTCCTGCTTGTTTGGCTGTCTTGAGAGTATCATGGGCAAATGCCAGACAATGAAGAGCTTGTTGGACAGCAATCGTCCTACAGCTCCCGATCACTCGGTATCCTCCTCAGCTTCTCCTGCTGTAGTCTAGCACTTCCTGCTTCGCTGATTGTCCCTCGTTTCTCTGAGTGCTCCCCGGTCCTCCTGTTCTCGCCCCGCCCCCCCCCTTTGTCATCTTCTCCCTTCCTCACAGCGCTCTGTCTACGACAATCGATTCCATCGAGCATGATCACCACCAACAACATCAATCATCACCCCTTCCCTACCCCCTGCTTGTCATTTTCCCCCTCTACACCAGTGCACACTTTCTCTTCAGGTGTCCTTGTCGTCCGCAGCATGGCGTCCTGTGTCTTTCTTGTCACCTGGCATAACGTGTTGTCTGTGCGTTTGTATGTGATGTTTTTTTGCATAAAAAAAAAAAAAACACACACACAAAACATGATCAGGATCAGGCCTTTTAGATTCAACGGAGGTGGAGAGAGCAACGTTCGGAAGGTCGATGACTCCACAGTGCATCACACACACGAGTACACATTTGCGGTTATGGCCGCCGATCCCAAAAGTCTCTCTCTCTCTCTCTCTCTCTCTCTCTCTCTCTCTCTCTCTCTCTCTCTCTCTCTCTGCGCTCTCACGAACCTGTGCCACGTAGACTTTTTTTTCTTGAATGCTCGTCGGTAGTCCGTCGCTCATATCTTTCTTTCTCGCAAACCTGTGCCACGTGGACTTTTTTTTTTTTTTTTTTTTTTTTTTTGAAGTGCTTAGAAGGTAGGAACAATGACCGGGGGAGTAAATATTCAGTTAGAATTTGGACATTGACCGGCCGGTGCGGCTTCCAGGCGGCTCTCCCCTGTGCCCTGCCATTTACAGGATCCACGTGCTGTGTGTCTGGGTGCTGCCGGTAAGCTTCCCGGCCAGCAAGTGCACCCTGCAAATGAGTCATGGTTCGGGGGAAGAGCGGCCGAAGCAAACCCCCCCCTTGTGTAAGGGGCTAGAGCTGCAAGGTGGCTGTATCTGACTCTTACCTGATCTACTCTTTCCTTCAACTGCTTCTCATGTAGTTTGGGCTGGCCGGTGATGAGCAACCGGACTGATACCCCCCAGAATAGATGGGGCTTTGTTTAAAAAAAAAAAAAAAAAAAAGGTCCACTGCTGATCTCCTGCTTTCTGCCATGCTCTATCTGCCGCCGTTCTGAAACCACTTTTCTCGTTTCCTTCTCTTCTTTCCTCCTTTGCTTCCCACCATCGTCATCATCATCATCACGACCATTGTCACCTCCTCCATGCTTCCTTTCAATCTCTATCTTCGCAGAATGCATCCTTGACCTTCCCCAGCCCCCCCTCCCCCTCCTCATCGTCCTCCCTCCATCCTCACTCCTCCTTTGTCGTCCACCCTTCCACCAACGTTCTCCTTTCCTGATCCTTCCTCATATTCCCTCCATGCTCTCTTGTCATTCATCGGCCATTGTCATACCCTTCTTTTCCCTCCATGGTCGTCGACCTCTTCTCTTATCCGCCCTCCTCCCCTCTCCATCCTCCAGCCGCCACCTCCATCCATTGTCATCATCATCCTCCCTCCATCCTTGCTCCTCCTTTGTCGTCCGCCCTCCATCCGCAGTCCTTGTTCGTCTTCCGCTCCTTTCCCGAACATTCCCCCCCGTGTGTCCATGCCTCTGCACAGATCTCTCTCTCTCTCTCTCTCTCTCTCTCTCTCTCTCTCTCTCTCTCTCTC